ATACACATATAGTGTCTATTTCTCTAGTAGAAAAAATGAGTCATCAAAAGTTGTTCTACTCTCCGTAGATTTACGTTCGAAGGCTTGCGCATCATAGCCAAGTGATCAAAGCTAGTTTGCAGGACGTTAGGACCCAGACTCGACTGTTGTGTCGCCTGTCAGTCCAACTCTGCGTACCTGTACCGCATTATTATTACAGTATTAGGGCACCCCGTTAATATCCCATTATGAAGGTAGATGGGTCAAAATCGCGGTCAAAAGAAAAAGGAGAGGAAACGTGTCACGTTTAATTACAACGTTTACCTTCTGCTTTTCAATTAAGATTTAAAAGAAATCGCTTCTTGAGGCGAAAGAAATCAGCCAGCTTTAACGCATGCAATAGAAATACGCGGCATCACAACTGTATGTGTTGTAATTAAACACGTAGTTTTTGGTATTAGTTTATTCGTTCAATGTCTAAGTTACAAATAAAGAAAGACTGTGCCAAGTCGCTTGATTCAGGACGTGACGCAGTACGAGAGTTGTATGTATAAGACTATTAAGGGAACTTTGAAAGATGACAGTATGCCTTTCTGAAGGAAAGTTCGGCAATCTATACGAGACGAACTTCTGGGAAATAGAAAGTATTAAAAAAGCGTCTGTGCGAGTCAACGATTTGATAAGTTAGGCAAAGCTAGTCGAGTACTAGGTATCAATGGAGTTAATCAAGCTGTTCGTATATTCCAAATAATTACATGACAAGTTATTTTCGTGTCAACGGCCTGTACAATGCATAGTATAATCATGTATATATATATATATATATATATATATATATATATAGAAAGAGAACGGGATATATAAATCTGAAATTTTTCCAATAAGTTATGTCTAAGGCTTTATCTAAGCAGAAACAGTTAGTCCAATAATAGAGAAATGTTCGTATATGCTAGAAGCGTCATGCCGGACGATTAGGTCTATTCAATATAACAATCATTCACGACAAGTACAACTTCAGGGCTTGTTAGTTTTTTTAAATATTCCTTCATTAATTTTCACGTGATGTTTTAACAGTAACCGCGTGTCAAGCAATTTGCGAAAAAAAAAAAACTTACCATTCAAATACGCTACATACAAACATTTTCAACTGAATTAAATGTTGAGTAGATTTCAGGCTAAGGATGCATTGGTTCGAAAAAGCTAAAGGCCCTAAAAGACATAGAAAAAGGGTTAGCCATTCATGTGGTTTGTATGGATAGCTAGACTGGCAATTGATAGTCACTTCTCCAAAACAGCCGTTGATTTCTGTATTAAGGAGCCAGATAAATTAAGATGGCTTTAGGAGACGTTTTGATGAATCTTTTAAATCTAAGGCTTACTGAGATTTTTCTGGTTTGCCTCATGCTAGCCTTACCCACATTTCTCAGAAATCTCGTGAAAATTGGCAACAGTGTAGGCCGTCGATTTCAGGTAAGAAGGCAAATTCTCCACCTGCGTGGACGTTCGTCCAGTGTCGAACAATTCAATGATAGCTGACATTAATTCAGACTCTGAAAAAAAACTCAGTGTTTTTCGTCACGATAACTTTATTATTTCGTCTTATAGAGAATTGGCGCCGCTCTAGTACCGTAAAGGCAACAATTACCAGCCCGTCAAACTTTCACCGAATATATATGTATGCGTATATATGAAATATACAGTTTTCGACGCTGCGGTTGCCACGCTGGGTGGCCGCTGGGTTTATCCTTCATCAACATTTTTTTCCGATCTGAAACTCGTCTCTTGGGTTCATCCATACTGGCGAGATTTGGGCAAATGATTCATGCGATAGCACAACGACGGACTCATACGCGCTCGGAGTCGGATATAGCTTCCATGGATATATTGGCAGGGTATCACCAGAGAATCGGTCTACCACCGCCATATCGGTGGGCAAATTGGACAAATCGTTTGATGACGCTTATCAAACGTTCTAACATAAGTAGTTCCTTGCGACACGAGAAAGTGTGTAAATATAGTATATACTTCGGTTGAATTATTTTGTCAAATTGACAAAGTGATCCGTGCACGGGTCTGGAGTGGGTGACTCGGTAGGAATATGCAGGTTTCATCAACTATCTTGCTATGTTTTAGATCGTCGTCGTGTATTCTTTAGATTTTAGACTCTGCGTTTGTCAATGTTTCACAAATTAAAGACTACAACAAATTTCTGCAGATATGTTCTTACTTGTGAAGGACGAAAAACGAACGAAATCCGAAGTCTGACGGCTTCAAAGGCCCTTCTCCGTTATATGGAGGTTTCTTTAGTCCGCTGTGTATGCTTTCAGTCAAATTTCTCTCATGAAAGCACATCACTATGTGATATGAACGCTAGGGTAGCAGACTCATCACAACCTTTGCGTATATAACTATTTCTATGACATTTCCAAGAACAGCATTTCCTCAAGTACCTAAATTCTTAGTTGTGTCTCAAAGATTGCGGTCAAGCTAACGAGAAGATGCCTGGCATGGGTCTTGCGCTCTGTTTTAAGAACAACAATCCAACTTTAGCAGTGGGAGCTTTTGAACGTCGTCGTCTCATTGACAATTTGAAAAGGCCTTATACCAGAGTACGACTTTCGCTACCAACGTCGGTCTTACAAGTACGTTTGTAAGAGACGGGAGGTTTCGTGGAGGGCAAAGCATCAAACACAATGATTTCGACATACACATTGCATTCAAAATGGCTTCACCTTACAATTAAGGGAAACATTCAGTTAAACACAATACCAGAGGTGATTTCCTGGGAGTAAGTAGTTCATTGTTTAGTCGTTAGCTTTGTTCTGTGTCGGTAAGCCATAAACAAGTGGTTTCTCGTCAAGTTAAAATTGAACGTAATGAATTGGTTATCGTTTATTGAAAAATCAATTTCTAATCTTCGCTCGTATGTTTTACGTATAGTCCAGCAGTTGCTATGTACGATTGAAGTATATAATGGTGATCATATACCTGGCAGTGCGGCACATGTCTTGGACTAAGCACTTAGAGCCTTTTTGCGCCTGAACATCGGTGTCCTCCACTCTGACTCTGAATATAGTGCACTGAATTAGAAATCTTATACTGGAATAGCTGATTTGCTAGACAAGACCTCTCGCTTCCATACTTTAATTAGCCTGACTATTATATAGACGTTTCATTAGTTAAATTTAAGCACAATTTTCGGAAGAAACAGAATATATAAACAGAAACATAGTTAGCCCATTATATATTGTATACAATACACTCTATTATAGTTTGATAAGAACAACAATGATAAAATTCTATTATATTAAAAAGGGACATATATTTCCCATTTGACGACCATCCGTGAGTCCGCTGTGATTTCTATTTCGGTACCTCAGTCTCTGATGCCCTAGTTTACTAGCACAGCCTTCATCCTCATCTAGCCACTGGTACCGTTAGTTTGACTCTTTTTTCAGGACTGGGAGACGGAAAAGAAGGCAACAGTACCTATAAGTTATCAATAGCGATAACAGAAAAAGATTGACCCAGCCACTGAGAAGTCATTTGAGCGAACCGACAATGCCGTATTTATATATAGCTCCTATTGTGCCCGCAACTTTCAGGTTGTCGTAGGTTGTTGTTCAGGACGTCAGCAGCGCAAATGGTACCTTCAGCATTATATACAAAAGCAGTTCTAGGCGCAAAAGCACCAGAAATGGCTTTCACCATGACAATCGCCGCCAAAAACACACCCGGCAACAACAGCATATGTATGTGACAGAAGGCCACAAGGGCAAGCTACAAAATGGCCTTTTTGGGGACGGTGCTCCTAGGTTCTGTTCTGGCTTGCGTAAAGTTTCGTCCAGTCCCCCAGTTTGCTTCGTTTTTCCACTTCAGCCTTTGTAGCAGCATAAAGGGACAACGCGGTAATCACAATAGCTGCTGGTGCAGCAGCTCCGCCATCAATTGCGACGAGAAACAGAGTGTTAGTAGAAAAAGCAGGGCTAAAATTGTAGTTCACCTGAGACTGGCACAATCTGATCGAGAAGCGTGGGCCTTCGGCGTTTGCTCTTTGTGGACGCCTCCGTGGGCGACTGTTGTGCAACTTTTTTTTGTCAATTTGCGCGTGCGCGAGTGCCGTGCGTGTCTGTGTCAAACTGCTGTATACGTGTAACGCAATTGTAAGGTAAAGTTAGCTAAGAAGGGCGTTTCTCAAAAGTTAGAAGATAATTTAATATAATGTAATACGTCTGCTACTAAATCAGCTATTGCCTAAAGTGGGCGCGAAAACGTGCATACAGAAACTGATGTGAAGCCGGAATGGGATAAATACACACAAAAAAGGTTAGCAAAATCTGTTTGATATTTGTTTTTCGTAATCTCACTAATATTGAGGGCTCGTTCTAGTCTCTCGTTAAAAGCTGTGTGAAGTTAGGCTCCATTGGCATTGATGTTTAGTAAGCGGTTTATATTCAGCAGCTACGGTACGCACGTCGTCTCGTCCTAATCGTCAAGCTGATTCTATTGCGTGCTAAAAATTTATAATCATTTGGAACCTTCGTTTATATATCCTCGATTGTTTTTTTAATATAACCATCGCGCACCCATAAGAAGATCGTATAATCCGTGATTTAGCATAGTTAATTAAGAGAATTGCATTCACGGAAAGATACATGCTTCATGCAGCAGCTCGACTGAGGCGTCAGCTGAAAAACTTCAATACGCTGTACATGCGATCGAAGTAAATAATGCGCTTGGCGAACATGCTTTTACTGAGCTTCGTGGGTTGGAAGTTGCATCGCGAGAACGAGACGCGTCATTTGAGGCGTAGAATAGCCGAAATAAAATTTTAACATTACACAAGTTATGAGATGTTATTGTCGATTGGAAGTCTACTCGGCTTCTTTATATAACGATAATATTATAGAACCAATGTTATTCTGCACTATTAATGCTCTAACGACCTATACAGTCACATCAATACTCCAGCCATAAACATAACTCACAAGTACTGGTGCCTCCTCTAGAAAGCATCATTTTAAAAACACATAATATTTTGTTTGGCCTATTACGTTGGTTCTATTTTTACCTGTCATTGATTTTATGGGCTTCTTCGATTGAACTTTTCCGACAGAATCAATATTTACTAGTCAATCGACACTGATCAGGCCTATGCAAGTACTTTGCTCATTCCTTTCCAGATTCTCTACGTCAAGCCAAATTTGTGCGTCAGGCGAGTGTTGACCCGATTAGTTTTGTCAGCAGCTTCGAATGTAACGTTGTGCAAGCGAGCTAACAATTGCGGGGTCACGTATAACCATACCCCACGGCTTTATCTTCTCCAGGTTTCACGATGCGATTCGTCCTTCACTCTCTCCGCTCTGCCTGCTCCTCAGTGCCAGCCGTTACTAGTACGAGAGCGAGTTTCGCTGCCCTTTTTCTGGGTCGGAAATTGCCAATTGCCAAAGCCCTTCTCCCCTCGCCAAGTCCAACACAAAACTCGCCGGCCCGGTCGACGTCAACTAACTCAACATCTACACACGCATATAGAAGGTCGAACAAATGATCCACGAATGCCTTCCGCACTCCTGCGTCGTCACACAACCTTTCGATTAATTTCAAACGACACTGATAACGAAACCGTTTCTTTAAAGCCATTCCCCCGCTGAGCCTTTGCATTTCCCGGCATGCGGCCTGCAGTGTTACTTCAGCTGAACAACATCTATTGGGACAGTGGATCTGTCTGACCAGAATGTGGTGCTGCCTCGAATAAGGCAATGTACCGATTATAGAATTCTTTTCTGGACATTGGGAGGAGATTATACTCAATCGCCCAAGGTACATGTAAGCTAATGCTTTTAAGTACCACAGGCACATTTGGAGCGGAAGCATGTATTTGGGTGGGATTACTTCACGCGCTGCTGCAGTATTTGGGTCCGTTTCCATCCTGCTTTCTGATCGATCTATTTCGATTTGCCTATCTTTTAGGCTTTTGTCGTTTACTGTGTCTCTCAGGGAGAGTTACAATGGCTCAGTTGACTCCGTTAGCTTACATACAAAAGGATCAACAATCATGTCGCAATGCTAAGTACGTTTACGCTAACTTTGTTCAATATCAGCCAGAGTACCACTAACCCGCGTCATCGCCTAGCCTGTAATAATGAGTACGGCAGTCGCACGTAGACATGGAGGTTAAGGAGACCTTGCACCAGTTCTTTCGGATGCACTAGGCATGATCCAAATATCCTTCAAGAGCGAAGTGCTTAAACTTACTTGAATAGGGAAACCACTCTGCTTCTGAAGCAGCGAAAAGTCGACATGGAAAGAGAGACAGCGAACGAAATATTGGAAAAGCAAAACAGAGGGAGACCCGTATACTCCGTGTATGCCGTTCCGAGTACTCGATATAGCACCTCAGAAGTAGGCCGGGTCCCTTGCCGTTTGGTAAAAGCAGAACAACAACGAACATGTTAGTCTACTTTTCTGACCCTTGAGAGCCACGAAAAGCTATAAGCAAATGAAAAGAAGCTAGAATCGCCGAATGGATAGAAGCAAAAGGTCGCTCGCAAAATACTGAAAACATAGGAGATAACAGGCGGCGTTCGAGGCATCCGGCCGTGTTGACGATGACTGACTGAAACGTTGACTGAGTATCTCAAGATAGGAGATACTTTGATACTTCGTACACTTTGTTTCAAATCTAATCTGCGTGCAGGACTTGGTCACTTGGAACAGGTTTCCGATGCTATGAGAAAAAATAAAAGAAAACAGCATAGCTCGGGAAGTACAATACCATGTAAATTTTTATTCCGTGTCCAACAGTAGGATGTGCAAAATCCAAATCTATCGTGATAACCAATAGTCAAGGTGTACTATAATTTAAATCTAAATTGACAGTTCGAAAGTGACACTTTTGATCAGACAGAGTTACTTGTTATCTGGTGTTGGGTGTGTATCGTTCCGTCAAAGGACCAGCAAACCTTACTGTTTTTTTGTAACCTTACAGAATCTGTAATGCTCCGCCATTCACATAGTGAAGAAGTGGAGTTAACCTGGTCGGGTCGGATAGGTTGACCCCTAGCAAGGCGAGGGTTGACGGAGGTGCTGCAGTTCACACGCGATGAAGGAGGTGGTAGAGAACACGAAGTCTCTCAAACGTGACTTCGCTCTGAGAATTTTAACTGTCGAATACGAATACTCAGAAATGCGCTGCTCTATTCCAGACCCAGAGAGCCGTTTGCTGGGTTGAAGGACTGTAGCTGATAACATTTTTTACAGACTTTTAGCATAAGGTTCTTATTATTAAAAAAGTGTTATCCGTTCTGTGATTAAAGTAGAAAGTATATAACACCGTAAAAAACATTTGCTTCGACAAAAATAGGTTTTGACTGAGATAACTAGTTAGTAGAGCTGGAGGAACCCACCAAGGCGCTATGAATCAATTTTTGAATTCATATATCCTTACCGTTGAAAAAATTGAAGCTACCTGGAAAACTAGGTTTACTCCAACGGTAAGCGTACAATTTTTTTTAAGTAACTTTTGTCCTAACTGAAAAATTTATTTAACGTTTTACTTTACTCTATTCTGTTCTACCATAAACATTCTGAGATTATTTTAAGCGGACACGAGACACTATTACTATGTCTGATCAAGAACTCTAAAATAATGTTTTAAAGCTTTTTTACGATATGTATGCATTTGTTTGGAATTTAAAAATACCGACTTCGGCCTATCTCAGTATTTCATTATATATATATATATATATATGGTAGACAATACACCAAATTTGCGTTTGTACGATTTTACCGGCGTAGTAAGTCGAAGCTTATTCTTAACCTCGAGATAAAACAATATAGAAATCATATTTTCAGGTTTTTTTCATGTACAGATCATCTCGGGCACAACTCGACCACAACCTAAATAACACGTCTATATGGAAAATGCACACACCACTTAGAAAACCTAAATATATCTATTATTCATTAGGTGTTAGATACGCCTTTTGACACAAGAATTGTCCTTTCTATGACAGGAGACCGCATGACTCCGCTTAACAAACGCCGTAAATCTGTTTCTCACAAGTAACGAATACGTACTACTTTGCACTGATATGATGAACTGTCCGCGTTGTGTTCGTGTTTAAAGAAAAAAATTCCCTTGGAAAAAAACGGGTGCTTACCATTCGGATAAATGTCGGATCCCGTATGTTGTATGAATCAATTTTTTGATACCTATTCTTATGTGACACATCTGTTAACAGCATGTGGGTGATAGATATCATAAATCATCAGCTCATAGATATCATAAATATAACGATATTCCATGACATGGACAGCACATGTTTGTAACATTTACATGTTAGTAGCCTTCATCACAAGACAGTCGCTTTCTCAACTCAAGGTTCTCAGCGTGGAGATCAATAGCAGTTATAATAATGTATTATTATACGCATAAAATGATTATATTGGGGTGAGCAATTTCGCCTATTATAATGTAATCTTCAGGTCAAAGGTACGTTATCTATTTGTCCACATTCTCTGCCTGCGTCGGCCCAGCGTTGATTTTATGTTAATTTTCATCTGTCCTGTTACGGCAAATCCATGGGATGGACCCGACGTTCGGGATTGATCTTGGGTTTCTTTTAACCAATCCGTTGACGCCAAATTAACCAGATTTATCGCATTGTAACTGTCTATAGGACACGACTGCCTCCACCTACCTAGCATTGGCTCGAGGATCAGATTCTGTATATCGTCTGTATTACACAAATAGTGGTGTACATCATAAAATACTCATGTAATCGTTGGCTTAGGTTATTCTCATGCAATAATGTCATGCAGCTAGCTATTTCATCGTAACTATGGAACTGATCATAGATAGAGTAGACATAGGGGTCGTATAGTTGTCCGCGGAAAGCAAACCCTACCTATATTATTATCCTATTATATTTAGTTTGTCTGTCGCATCAACGCAATTTGGCTCCTGAACGTTGTATCGGGTTGTCGGTTTATGAGCGAATACTGCAGTAAGCTAAACGTGGCTTTGTTCTTTGGCCATCTCGTTCACCCCCTGCCAAAACGCGATAAGGCAGTATCCGCTGTAGCTGTAAATACGTATATAGTGTGTTGGTGATTAATAAAACTCCATCCACACGCATACGATGCTTTGATGTACGTCTGGTATATACTCGATCCTTCTTCTATGAAGAGGAATCGCTTATTTATAGACCTAACGTCGGCCATACCATCACAGTGTTTTCCTTTCGTCTGCGTTATTGTATTTTACCCTATTTACGTGGCGAAGGCGCTTCAACAATATTATGCTTTGCGTCGTACTCTTTCGTCCTGTGTTTCCACTGTACAAGCATTTCTGTATCGGTAGACAATCATCTCTTAAAACCATAATCGTCCCTGCCACTGGCGCTGTTATGATGATGAAATGAAACGTAAGCATCGTCATTTCTTCGATCCTGTTGTCATGCCACAACCATGGCCGGATTCCCGGGAACTTCTTTGAGCGGACGAATTGCTGCGCAAATAAGACCCTAGGATTCTAGAGGGAATGCAGGAGCTAACGGTTAAGTTGTTCTAGCGGTCCCCAGATCAATGGACCACTCGCCCGCTAGGACAACTGCGGGACTCGCGTGTCCTTATGCTGTACAATATATACTTTGATTTCATATATATATATATATTGAAAGATCCCCGGGATAGGCGAGAAAAGCGACTTAGAAGTCGAACTGAAAGTTGGTGACGTGAGAAGGAACGTCTGAAGCCTAAGGGTCTCGCCTTTCGCTGTGTGCTCCTGTCGCCGGCCGGTTAGTAGCAGGGTCAGTTCAACTGGGCATCGCTGGAGCGGGGGCCTTAGCTCCCAACGAAGCTCCGTGTGAGAGAGAGTCACATTAGAGAGGGTCGCAAGATTCAGTAGATGGGCCTCTGCTAGCAGCTCCCCCTAGCGGCGTCCGATATTGGAGGAGCCAGAGCAGGCACGGGCCAGCACGTGATCGACTCGATAGTCAGTGAACGCCACCCTGGTAGGCAGGATGCACGATGCGTGCTCCTCTCGAGATTTTGATTATGGTCGCAAGTGTTCTCGCACCGCTTGGACAGGGTGAGTTAGCTAACAGAAATATAGCACCATTTGTTAAGCTACCTATATCAGCTTAGTGTAATTATGTTATGTGAGAATTCAGTACCTAAACAAGAGATCACTGTCTGTTTCTTAAGCGACGTAACGAAACTGCCGTGTGTGGGTGGAAGAAAAGCTGCAGTGATGCGTCGATCAACAGATTTTTAAGCAATACAACAACGAAGATACACATCAGCCTGAAATTGAGTGATATAGTTGCCATGTCATGCATTGTCAATACCAATTAACACTTCGGAGGCAGAAGTGATTTACGAGCTATGTGTCATGCCAAGCAGGATAAACGCGTTGTCAAATACGTTGGCAGCTTCAGATCAGTTATCACTAAAAGTTAGCAAAGCTTGTTACCAGCCATAACAACTAGACCGGTACGTCATAGCTAATTGACGGCGTAAACGATTAACATTAGTACTACTAGTAATAGTAGCACTCTTTATGCCGTAAATTTGCAAAAATCAAAGCAAAATCGAAATGAGCGACAAACATCTGCCCCAGGGGTTTTTGGTTCCGCTTGACTGTTTTTCGGCAACACGACAAATTGCTACTTGTCGTTTTGTAGTAAGTACTGCTTGTGTTACGTGGTTATTTTATGAATGAAATTTTCATGATCTCTGTAACAGATAACATCGTCCATTCTACGAGGTGATCGCTCTTACTGGTAAATAGGTGTGTGGGCTAGCGAGTATCCATGGATTTACTCCAATGGAGCGGGAGTTCTTCGCGTACTTTTATCCGTGGGCGTCTGCTCTATTGTATTGTAACGTAAGCCCAAGTACCGGACGCCTAAAGCAGCTTAAGCAGCGGACGTAAAAACACGAAGAACAGCACTGTATGATAATTATGTAGGCAATGGCTTCGTATACGATAGTTGAACTTAGCGCGTAGAGCCAAATGCTTTGTTGTTTATGTATTAATTACACTGCTACTAGTTAGACCGGCAGATGTCGTTCATCAAACATTGCAATAGGAAGACGATCCTATTAATAAGATCGTTGTCTTAGGTCGGGGGTAAAAACTACTCAAGAAGATACATGTTAACACACAGCAATAGCCGAAAATAAGACTCGATTTTTTTTTGTTTGCAAAGCAGAGCTCTGGACGCACGAAACGTTATCTTACCAGCCATGACAATTAAAGCTTCTTGACTGTGTATGATGCCGAAGTAAAGTTCGGCACACGCCAAGATTCTCGATATTTTTATATACAACCAATAGGAAAATCCGCATATTTTTGGTAGCACGAAAAAAGATGGTTAAGTTAATGAGTTGTTCAACTCGAGAAAGGGATTTGCATCAACTAAGTTAGTCTATTGTGCATATATGCTATCAGGTATACATTGTTAGCATTGCACGACTATATATACAGGAGCTATAAATAATGAGTTTATCGCACAGTAAAAAGCATGCAGCCGTCTACGATTGCCAACCTGCTGCCGCTTACACGTTGATCATAGGAGACTTTTTAATATCATTAGCGGTAGATACAGCTTTTGTATGTCTAAGCGTCATATACTTATTACTGTATATAAAAGCATTCGCAATTCTATAAAGAGAAAAACAAACTTCGACACTAAATATTGTTTTGAGTAGAAATATTAGGTATGCAAATTGAGTGATTCTATGGTCATAACTCTAGATAATAGGTATAGCAAAAAAAAAAAAACATTGAGCTTTGGCAAATCGTGGGCCGTTCCGCTGTATGTATTTATTCAGATGTTTCTTACTTGTTAGTATTCAGGGGAGAAAACGACCTTTCGGATTTTATCTTCGCACAGACATGATTGATTTTTTTAGAATCACGTCCATTATATGGGTGCAGTTTCTCCGTTGCTGAACTAATCCATGGAATGAATGTTAGAATAACCGCATACGTATTTCGAACAAGTTGGAAAGCTATTCTATTAAGGCTCAAGGCAAATCGGTGTGTGCAAATACATGGAGCGCCTTGGAAGAAATAGGCCAGACCAGAAATTATACATAATATACATTAGGAACACGCAAGCAATATTAATAATAAACGATGGCTTTTGCCAGGAAATCGTCGTGATAAAAAAAAAATGGGGAAAATTGGGATATCTTAGGAAACTCACAGAGAGGTTTAAACGTGCGACAAAGCTAGCGTCTTAAGCGATAACAGTATAGTAGTGGGTGAAACTGTTCCAGGATCGATGAACATAGTAGAAAATTTAGGGCTAAAAATAGGAAAAAGCTTTGAGTAAAAAATGTCTTTCCTACTCTACATTTATTTGTACGTAAAACAAACTTCTCAACAACCTTTAATATAGCAAGCTACTATATAATGCTGCCGTATCCCCACTTGACGCGTCTAATATTCATTTGTCACTATAAACAGTCATGGTAGAGGAACCTAAATGAAGCAGAGAAGAAGGACCATTAATTTAATTATGATAAAGAAGCGATTTTTTGTTAAAGTAAGCAAGTTGGTGATAGAGATTTAACCCCACGGTTTCGTAAAAGACACATTCGATATTTCGAGGATTTTAAATACTGAAAAGGGCGAGACACTGATCAATCTGGAAAAAAAATCCCAAGTTTTGGGAAGTTGATAATCTTGGCATAGACATTCGAAATGGAAATTTTGAGTTAGGACCGTAAAAAGGGTCCAAGATCATAGGACCTATACGTACAGAGCACACTCTGATGGCTATAACAAGATTTTGATAAAGTGATCTACTAACTAAGAAGCACACGTGAAACTGATAGAACTGCTGAGAAATACGGGAGAGAAACGAAAGAAATTTTGCATACGGCACGTAAGATTTGAAGTTCTCTAGTTTTATAGCTGCGATAACCTTGTGCATAAAAGTAAATAAATGACACGAAACTATTTTAACAGTTTGACTTTTATCATTGGCCTCATTGTGATATTGTGTTGTTAATCTGAATACGCCAAGTGTTTAAGGACCACCAAAAAAGATGAATAGATGAGACTAGAAAAAAATGTGAGGGCCAAACAGGAGTGAGAAACTTTAGGCTGTGGAAAGATAACGATTACCCGAAGAAGACCTTGAAAGGGGGCCGCCCCATAGGAAATTCTTAAGCAAATGGTTTCAGCGTAGATGGAAGCCGAGTGAGCAAGCTCAGTCCCTGAACGTTATTTGTGGCAAGAACTGCTGGAATAATTCAGGAAAGCGGTGGCCTTTAGGGGGAACTGCTAGCTTTTTCTTAATATCAACTGCAAGTCGTAGGAATTAGTAAACGTTAGGTATAATTGAAAAATTAACGTCAGCCAGTTAGGTCTGATTGCTTTCTGATTTTTGTCTGTCAGTACGTGGTACCGCTCTGGTAATGAAAGCCAGTTCGTGGTCAATTTGGCCATATTGATGAATACTCAAATCACAGCGTTACCACGGACATCTTGCGTTTCAATATCGTCGGCGTAATATATAAGCCGTCGTTCAATATAATATAAAGCCGTCTAAGGGGAGTAGCCATGGACCGTTGCTGTCGTACGGTTCAATCGTAACGTGTCTGCCTTCTAACCTCAAAGACACGTGATAATATAGGTTCGAAACCGAGCGCAGACACATTTAACTTCGAACTAAAAAAAGCCGAACCCGTCGAACACAAAACTCGAAGGATTCATTCATTTAGTCCTTGCACAAGCAGGCATAATGGGAAAAATGGTATTGAAACAGGGTGATTATGCATATTTCGACTATTTTTGTAGGGCAGAAGATATACGCAAAACGTGATGACACCAGAGAGATCAGCACAGTTGCTTTTTTTGTATTTGGTCTCGCAGCTAGCATGAAGTGAAACTATTAGAATGGGCCCATTGAGGAAGGAAGAGAGGGACAGAGAAATTCAATGGGGTCAAACTAACGGGAAGGTAAGTGCGTGACTTAGCGGCTGCGTTAGGATGTGTAAGTAGATCTCAATGACGGGGAACTGCAAGGAAGAAGAAATTCTACTGATTTCAGCCGAAATAGCGTGAACTGGCGAGATGATGGCAAGAAAGAAGGGATGCGGGTGCATCCGCAAAAGGAACAAATAAGACGCAGCTTTTGTTGCATAGAAAATGCTATTCAGACATGTTGGCAAAGTGTATTTGTGTTAAAAATTATTATGTTATTGCACGAAACGGTCACTAATAAAAAGTTCTTCAATGATGTTTATTTACACACATCGTATTTTCCTGCTTCTGATCTTGACAGAGCATAAATCGGCATTTACGATAATGTAATTAAGTTGATTGTAGCTCTATTGGCAGGTTGGCGTCATGATAAGAATTGATGGCAGACCTTTAGACGCAGTCAGTGGTCATTATGTACTAACTCTAACACTGCAACGCGAATCGATAATTGTATGTTATCCGGTTTGTATAGTTCAGTGGATTAATCAGCTCAGATCTGATCGCCCCCCTAATTAATTTCTAATACGAAAAGAATATCTCAACAACAATTAGATCTATATATGTGTATATATTTATCTTTCAATTTTCACGCTTCTTCTGATAGCGCTTGCTGCTGTCATGAAAACAGCAGGACGTCTTTCGCTCCTGTTCAGCGTAGCAAAAGTAACACCACCTCTCACGCTTTGGCACAGTGTTTCCCTTTAAAAACTACGTTTAATGATCTGACTGAATTTTCTTCGAGCAGTTAGCGTTAAACATCTAAGTATCATGAGCTTATTGCTTAAGCATAAATGTCCAGTCATATTGTTAATTGTCAGGCAATACTAACCGCCCCTGTCGATACCGTTTTTTCGTGCGTATAGAAGTTGTGTATCGAGCGCGTATTTATTTCTTCATTGGCCGTTGATAGTACGTAGAACGTAGAATAATCATCTTGCGCTTGTATAATGAGAGGGCTACGACGAAGAAGAGGCGGAACGGGATCGCTGGCTGGTACCGCTGTGTCTCCTGCGGCTTCGATCGCTCCCAGCAGGATTCAGGATGACAGGAAATTGGAGAGGGCGATTCGGACAGGGAGTTGCTCGATTGCTTTAAGAATGGGGACAAAAGAGATTTAGCTTCTTTTTTCTAGAACGTTCCACATATCTACGGCAGTAGCGGTAACATCAGCGTGTACTCGAAGCATTCGGTCGCCCTACAACTGCTTGTTAAGTCAGTAAGCGTTGGTTAATTTGAGCTCATGAAGCGCCAGCGATAGCCCCGGACCAATGCTGGCTGATAGCACGACTACGGCCGACGAACAACACCTTATGGACTCGACTTTTCGGGTCCCCCGAATCGAACTCCTTAATAGTGAGAGTGCACGCTGGTGAAGCTGCGGTAGGCCTGTGAGCGGTGCCAAATGTGGAACCTGCCTTAATCGAATTCTGATAAAGAAAGTAAAAAAACGGTGTTCCGTTTTTCGAACCAAGCGTCGCGGAAAGCTTTTCTTCCTTTATTATACGTCTACACGAAACACGGCATAAATTGTAGTATTTCAGTTTGAAAACCACTGCCGTACTTATGTGACAGTTGCGATTATTTGTTAGCGGCGTTAAGCCTTATTCTAGGACAATTAAGTGTCACAATTACTAAATACAGTGCAATTGAACCTAGAATAACATTATCAGTCATTATGATATTTGGTGAACTTCGACCTTCGAGTTTCTGACAAGTCCCCTGACTAACTTACTTGCAAACCAGCTTAAAACATAACATTAAATAAACATTTTGGGCATTACTCCATCGTGTTCACTATATGCCCTTCTCTTTGCATCTTCATCTCTATTCCGAATGTGCCATCGAACCTCGAATTGACGAACAAAAATCGTATCACAGAACCCAGTCGATTGAGTTTCTTTTACATTAATCTAATAGAACACTCAGATATTTCCTCTTTATAAAATGGCTACGTAGGCTACGTAGACGAAGGCTACGTAGAACGTTTGTTGGACCACTTATTTTATATAACTTCTGCGTACAACGGAATCACACGCCGCTGGAACCTTCTTTGGCGTCTTGCCTAAACACGTCACGAGACTTAAACGAGACGCAAACTAACAACGAACTCTAGCCTACAACTGATTTTGGTATGTAACCACCGTAAGGTGGTTACATATCAAAATCAGTTGACTGAAAAAAATGACAGACCTCGTCAACTCGACGTATATGTTTAGCAAGCTCTGCATATATAACGGACTTCGCTTCCTTAACCGTAAACCCCGTTGAGCTCCATTGACCGTTTACCCCGTTGAGTCTGTGACATGGGATTTTCGTCTGAAAAAAATTGGTGGTGGTACAGAAGTATCATTTTTCAATTAAGCCAAAAATTGAGTTGTTTTTTTTTTTTTATACAGACGTACGTCTGTCTACGCTACCTAAAGCTGCGCACTCACTGTGGACATAATGAAGCATGTGAAACAGGCTGCGACTAATAGATATATATTATTCAAATATTTTCAATTGCGACTGAAAGATACAATATTAGACATAGTTACGTTGTACATCGTCGTTTGTGTTATATATATACAGTGACCTAGATTTTCACGTAACATATGAGCAGGTAAAGCGCCTTTGTGACACTCGAATCGATCAATATTTATCGCATTTACAAACAATCAACAATCAAAACCATGTTTTCGGTCGACTCCTTCCTCCACTTGCTATAACCTATACGATACGATGCGTACACTCAATATCTAACCCGATATATGCCGAATTATAAATCAATACGAAGTCACTCATTGAGGCACGGACACCCACAGGTACAATAATAAGCGGTGTTGCAGAGCAGCGGCAGTGCGCATTCGCTGTAGAGCGCCCCCCGAATCTGGCAAGGTGTTTTGTTTTTTCTGTTCACCTTTCTGTACGAGATGAGAAAAATCGCGCCTCAGCAAAAACCTCGTTCGTTTTTCTCGTCTCTTTTCCCTTTTTTATCTTCTTTCACTTACCTTTTCCTTTCTCGGTTATACGTCAGAGGATCTCTCCGGACGTACGGGACAGTACAAAGAAGAAAAACGGGCCAGACGCGTACGTATTTACGAGATGGACGATGGTACGGCCCGAGAAGCAAGGATCTTTCTCGCGATGTTTCTTTTTTCTGCGTGTACATCCTGAGTTCTCGCTGCTAAAGGCTGTAACCGCGCAAGTGGTAGAGATATTTAGTAGGACCACGTAACGTCCTATCTGTGTTTGTAAGCTGGAACAAATGCCGCCAAACGCCTGCTCTGTTTGAATGACCTAGCAGTTCTTCTTGGTACCGAGTGCGTTTGGAGAAGTGATTTGCTTGGCTGAGGAGGCTGCGAATACTGAATAGCGCTGGGGCTCTATGAACTTGAAGAAGTGCAGGGAAGTGTCTCATAAATTCTCTCTTTTTTTCTGATATTCATATAGGTGCGCAAGTACGGGTGAAAATACTGCATATGGTCTACAAAGGGTAGGATATATTTTCCCGATATGAATCTCGTTGAGGGAGACGCTCGCGATTGTAGTCATAGCTGTGCACGCGTACTCAGACATCGACCTTTTTACCAATCACTGGTCTATTCGGCTTGCCATAGGAATCTTAGAAATGGTCTTGGCCAAATGCTGCGTATCATGTTTGAGGTGTGAAGTCATATCAGAGAGACCCTTAGGTATTAGTGTAGAATTTCAACTGCACAAGAAGTTATATCAAGAAGTTCCCAACTCTATACTGACGTATAGAAGTATGATAAGATTCCACATGACCATACAATCTGAGCCACATATAATTTATAACATAGGCCAACGACTTCTTTTTCATAACTAGATTACTCAACTAGAAATAACTCCCATGCTTGCAATCTCCTACAGTTAAGTTTTTCTCTCTCGCGAGGTTTAGGCGTCTATAATTTACGTTCATTAATCGGTCTTGCATTTGTTGCTCCTGTTTATTTATTTACAAACCTATTTTCTTCGATAATTCAATGTATCATCGTTACTCTTCACTGTTTGCTATCACAGCGAGCTGACGCAGTCCTGGAGACTGTTGGAATCTAGTTTGCCTTCAAATCCGCCTTCAGTATAGGTAAATGCTGTATTCACCCAAGAAGAATACCGTCCACTTTCACATTATGCTATGCTGACTACCTACGGCAACAGAAGACTCGGAAGTTGGTGTGGCGACGCCGAAAACCTCGTCGTTCGCAAGGGGAAATTTCTATCGGGTGTTGCAGGCCCAACATATTACTATGGAGGTATGTGTAGGCCGCCTATCCTGATAGGTCGAAGCGGCGTGCATATACATGCTACATGATGGCAAAAAAACACTGAGTTGGGAAGCGCTGCTTTTCTCTTTATCCTACTGTATAGTGGTATATCAAGCATACATAGGCCATGCAGGTACTGCTAATCGATATTCGAGTTAAATGAATTTAACGATAGGAGCCCTTTGAATATAACAACAGGATAGATCGCCGATCGTCGACATTGAGTTGTATGTCTTAACATAAAAAAATTCTCAGACGAAATTTCCGTTTGCTTTGGTTATCACAGGCTATAGATTCGGTTGCATTATCTGTTTTACAATTTTTTACAGCACTGCTAAAAGTGGCAATCTTTAACAGACGGTTATTAAAAAAAAACCGAGCGTTGCAGTCTATATGATGATGAATTATATTTCCACACGATTTCAACGTTTCTAAGATTATTCTGGGATCTAAGCACATGAGCGACCTTTCGCATGCGTACGAAGTCATTATCGTAGGCCTTCAACAGCTTTCGTCTGTCTGAACTGCAACTGGACCGTATCTTCAAAGTATTTCTATTTTAGGCAGTAACAGTAGCACCGGGTAGCTGACAAGTCAAGGACACAAACGCGACGCATCACATTTGCATACTGGCATGTGTGCTTAGCCACGCTACATATTTAGTTATGAGCCGTTGTTCTTTCAGGGTTCGATAATATCAAAACCTACAGGTTTTTAGGCCATGTGCTTAGGTTGAAACTATTTTTGTTCTAGGTCTATAGCTGCCACCGTATGCTCATAGTCGAGAATAAAAAATGATGCGTGTGAATCAGGTTTATGTACCGCACGTTAGGAGATGCTGCGACGTTTTAAATCAACCGTTAATCGTCTGCTAATAAAAATATTTTTTTCAACACAAAGTACATTGACTATTGAAACAGATGTTCACTATTAGAAATAAAAATTAACTGTCTTTCCGCTTATGCCATATAATATGTGTATCTAACATTATGTGTGTATAACAAAGTTTTCTCTCGTAACACCTATTTACAACACTATCATATATACTACCGTAGCAAATGGTGTAAGATTCTATTTCGATTTGTCCCGCAAAGTTGCTAGTTTTATGTTGGTTTATGTTTTGCCTTTTAGGCCCCTTCTCCTAAGGTGTTCTGTCAATACAAGATACTACTGCTCGGATCTGCTAAATCCAATCGTGGATATTTACCTGAAACCCTCCCATATCTGATGCCTGTCAGCACAGGTGTATTTTATATGCTAGCAGTTATTTAAAATTGACAGTCGCGAAATTTCTACAACAGGAATTGAATTGGTAATACCAGACAGGCGGAAAACACATTTCCATGTTGGTCCGAGGACAGCTTCGATCGCTCAGTTTCACGACGACCGGATACAACAAATACAATGATAACTGGCTTTGTCGCCGTTGTGGCAAACATGGCCAAGATGCCAATGAGCGTAACGGCTGCAACATTTGAAATGAGGGCAACAGCCACAGGCTCCCTCCAACGTCTTAAGCAGTTGCAGTAACAACAACAGCAGACGATATGATAAGGACCTGACGAAATGGAATCATCGTGGTCTGCCACCAACTAGAGCCTGCCTGCACGCCGAAGGCTCAATCCGGCCCCGAGCCGTACAAAACGTACGGCGACGCCGCCGCAACAGCCGGCAGTGATGATGGCACCGAGGACTCCAAGAGAAGGTGACAATTTGTGCAGATGTTCCTGCGGATGGAAACGAGTAGTGCAGAAGCCGAGCTCTTCTCAGCACTGGACCAGTCTCAGTTTTTCTTTCACATTCAACCTAGATAAAAGGAACAAAAGCTGGAAGTCTGTTTGTCAGCAGCGGGCGGGGGACAGCCGGGCAGGGGCACTTTTGCTATGGAGGGGAGTATGCGGGGTATCCCGTTTTTCGAAGAACGGGAGCAACCAGAACTGAAACGAACGACAACGATAGCAACTGTAGCGTGAAAGTAGCGCGTTACTGATGGAGGTGTTATGACGGAAAATTTCTCAATCTCTGAGAATACTGTCGCGGAGCAAATCCCTTGACAGCTAACAGATTCAGGGCACTGGCAGCATCAATAGAAGAATCAACAGCCGAGCATCGGCGAAACGAGTCCTAGTTTAGAGTATGACGACGCTGGTATACAAAACCGAAGCTCTTTTAGATTTCACGCAGTCATTAGTTGGCCAGTATAGGCCGATGTAAAATCAGCTGTCAGCATACCACGCCAACACCCGAGACGATCACTGCTGAAAGAAATTCGAGTCCTCTAACTACATTTGTATATTCGGCATTCTATCGGGCCTCACTCGTTACGCTGCTTTATTACGGTGTGGATATCTCCACTAAATTTCCCACACATGAGATAGATGGCATCGTTCGTCCTAGATTACCTTGAAATCGAAACGTTCCCAAGAGAATCATAGGCAGCGCACTGTTGATGTGACTTAACTTGATAAAATCAGTTGACTTAGTAGCATATGTCAAAAAGTGCTTGAAAAAAGAGAATTTCCGCAAAACAACAAAGGATGATTTTTACAAACCTGTGTTCGATAGGCGTGAGATAATTTGACCTGTGGCATGATGATCTACTACTAAAAATTACATAACAGACAGAAAGCGTATTGCATGCTCTAAGAAATCTACCTACATTTGACGATTCATCCCATGCGTATAATGCTCCTATACAAAAGGCCCAATTTTTCTGCAATAAAAGCCTCAAGTGTTTTCCCACGGTCGTCTAGTTTCCTGCAAGAATAGTTAATCCATTTAACAGGACGTCCAATCGAAGCGACGAATGAACTTGGTTGATGATGCTGAACTTCGCTCCCAATATACTCGTGACGCATGGTAACGTGTCCCAAATGCCGATCTGAAAAATTTGTAAAAGTTACTAGCGGGAACAGGTGTCTGCATGATGCAACAATTCGGCAAGAAACTTGTCGATGCCAACAGAATACACAATGTCTGCATCCTCTTGAAATGCCAGATGCTTAACACAATCATAGGGCTAACGCTGGGCATCAACCTGCCATATATTAGACAATTGCGGCCCTTCTGAGCTCTACTTAAAACTACTTCGAAATGTTGTTGTTTCTGCCAGCTGCCTTCAAAGTGCTTGGAAAGATGAATTTGCTTAAACTATTTGCTCAACAGGCTTGCTCACACAAACAGCCTGACGGGGGGTGATAATCCGCCAAATTAAGATATTTACATTTTTCTATGCACTTAAGCCAGTGCAAGTACTTTTACTCATAATATCATAATTAGATGACGAAGAAAAATACGTTCTTATCAAGAGGCATACTTTGTTTGCTGCTGTTGTTATGTATATTATTCAAACTTATTATCCCATATATACAACTTTGCCACAGGGACGACCCAGAAAGCAAACGAGACGAAGACAAGCGCAGCTAATATCCAAAGTTATAGCAAAAGTAGCTGGCGTAATATTCCAATGAACATGAATACAACCACGCTCACTATATCGTCGACTGGGGCCGTTCCTGCAGCGGTTAGCAGTATCAGCAACGACGAGGTTAGACGAAAAAGAACACCACGGACGGCTAAGTGGTGAACGCAAGAAACGAGAGCAACGAAAGGCGAACACACACAGGGTAGGTTAGGACTTTCTCGAGAAAGGAGGGGTCAAAAAAGGTTACGGACAGGCGTTCGAAGGAGGGGCTTTACCGAGCCCGTGTCACGTCGAGCCTCGCTGCAAAGAGGGTCTACAGAGCCGCTCGTTGCAGCCCCGCTTTTTCCCACATGGTTGTGGACAAAGAAACAGAACCTGTACCAGGCACACCAGTAGCAGTAACATTGCCTCTAATTAATACACTCGCTTCTTTTGCTGCTGCTGCTGCCTGGACCCTGCCACCAGCTTCGTACCGTCGCCTGCCGCTGACTACCTTGTGATATGTGCTATTAGCTTGACCTACTCAGCACAATGTAGTATGTACCAATAAGGGAGCTGATGACCAGTTATGGGGATTGTCCATAGGGCACCGGGCCGACATACGTCGATGCGATCTACACGATTGCAATCACACACATCGATGAAAATGACACATGCAAGTTATATATGTACTTGCATGGATGGCGTATGTGTTACGTTTCCCTAGGTATCTGCATGGCCTAGAACAAACTATAAGGACTGTCGTCTTTTTCCTTTTGCCGAAGGCCGACCGTGTAGAATACGCCATCATCGACATCAGGCTGATAGATACGTAAACACCAGTAAATGCCAGTATGTCGGCCGGTAAATCAGGTCTTATTCGATTGCCTAATTTAAGGCTTATTTAGTGAGATGCCTAGATACATCAAACGAATCGCCAGCTATGGGGAGACAGCTCTCAACGACTGCATTGATTCGGCATATTAACGTAATATATTTACGTGTACAGGTTAGGGCCTAAATGGCAGAACTTTAGGTGGTACTAGTAGTAACCATTTTCTATGAACGACACCTGCTATCCAGCTTCCTTCATAATAATCATTGACTGAATTGTTTTCGTGGTTGGAGCAGCAGATGTTTATGGGTGTGATCAAAGCTTTTACAATGAGTCGTTACGATCAATCAATGGACAATTCGATCTCAAACACATGCATATATCCCATGAAAGCGTTCTGAGCTATGGTTGGTAGAAATAAAGGCTGAATGCGGCCACAGTGCAGTCAATTCCACGCACTAACCCATTTGCACGGGACACTTAATGAGGAGCTCTAGATTCCTTTAGGCTGGGTAAACCGGGCATAGACGTAAACGTTCATTTTAACTGAAAAAAAACTACTGTTTGAAACAATGCTTAATTACGATAGAGCGAAGTGATTAGCTGAGGCTGGCGAGCGATTGTGCAGATAAGCTGGTAGAAAAAACTCACTTATTTTTTTCCTCTCTTATTTTTCCCTCCTTTTTTTTGTCGTCCTTCCTTACTACTGATGGCAGTGGCTGTATTACCATTTTTTGGTTATAGCACATTTATTCAACTTACTGAAAAGAAAGAGTCGAAAGTACTTTCTCCATCAAAGGACGTCCTCGAGAAAAATTTTTGAGAGACCTCGAGAAAAACGAAACAATTTTAGAAGATAGATAGAGGGTATATTAATCCGGACGTCAAAACCGAGTCGGACAGACGAATAGAATAGGAGATCGCTGACGATGTTAGTGAGTACCTCGGCCATATCGCTCTTTACACTTCTTTCAGCAAGTAAACGTAAATTTCAGTAAATGCATTGTGTGGTTATCAGATTATATCAGTCGAGAGCTTGCAAGAGCTTGTTTAAATTATCTGATTACGATTACTGTTAAAGCTAATAGTCGCTCGACCACGAGAACGCTAACAAAGCGGACAGCATGCGCTTGATGAAAGCTATCATCAGCTTCTCGGCTTCATTGCTTTTCCACGCATCTGCACCAGTTCATCAATTAGTCATCATCGTCTATCGTATCAAGTGGATTATTCTGCTTTGCACTGGCGAGTCTTTCGGGTACATGATGATTGTAGTGGTAGTGACGAACAGCCTATAGACCCCCAGGTCACGTATATCTAAGATGCTAAAAGTTTAAACTTTTAAGTTTACTTACTACTTCCCAGCCTATCTAGAAATCATACCACAAATACGAAAAATACCTATTCGATGCGAATAGTCTGTCCTATCGAAATCGTAAGCTATGTAAAAATTATGTGCGAGTAACTTCAGAAGGCAGTGTGATCTGGGTGGCTACTGAACATGTCTAAGTGGATTGCCATGGTACCTATGAATATACGGCCATTGGTGGTTCAAGCTTTTCGTTTAGCGGATCGTTGCTATGGCATATTTTTACCACACCGCTTCAAGTTCCGCCGTGGAAAAGGTCGGATAAATACAGCACTACCCGTCTAAAATAATGTCTGGCAAAAAAATAACATGAAAAGACACGTGCCTCACCTTATCGAACTTAAAGAACATGCAAAGTTCTATACGGTACTTCCCAATACTGCTGTACTAGGCTTGCTTAGTCAGAAGCGCTATACTGCAAAAAGTGACCGATCGCAGCTACCGCTTTGGCAGGTTCAAAGTCATCCGGTGATTCCATGAATCAGACTTGTATATTTTCCTGAAAGGAAGATAAGAAAATGTGATATAATTCCATTTCCTCTTTCTTGCTAGCATATTGCCTGTTACCTCTCATTTGCAGACGATACATGTTAATGTTAGTTGTCAAGCAAGTGTACAAAAAAAAAAAAAAAAATGAAGTGAAGCATAAGACGACGAAAAGCGTCTAAAAGGGCGAACACAGAATTGAACGCAGTTACAGGGATGATTAGTTGGTTGTTAGCCTGAGCAAACTATATAGTCGTTATCGCAGGTTTGAGGCTTAACTGCCCGCCAAAGCTGAAACTAAAGGCCGTTTCTGTGATGTTGGCCAACAACATACATTCAGTCAGCGGGCATATGACATGCTTTACTACGGTATACTGCGATGCACGTCGAATAAGCAGACGTCGCCCAGTGATGATGCTGATGTTGATCAAGCTGAGGATGATGATTTTTGATGGTACTTGGGCTTAATGGAACATGCGGCGCTCGCATGGTTTATAACGTTTAGCGTATGAAGGGTCAGCAGAATTCTAGTATCCAAAGCAAGCAAATAGAACAGAATTCTGTTATGCTAGCGGTATCATATAACACAAGCGTTTGCTACAAGAAAGGAAAAAAACAATACATTTTTTCAAGCTTAATCCAATGTTAATATATTGTTATCGTTTCCATTAACGCTTACTTCGGTGGTGCCAGCATCGCCGTCATGTTTCTTTTACCTCTATTACGTTGTACCAAGCGCGTTTATTAGTTATAATAGTTAAAAAAAAAAAAAAAAAAAGATACGTTTTTTTACTTTCATTTATTACTGGAAAGCAGTTGTTGCAATAAAAAGTGTCGCAACTTCCTTCTTTCCATTGAGGTAGCATTCTAAACGTTTTTTTTTTTTTAATGAAACGTTATGTTAAAAGTACGTGAACGTGCAATAATCAGAAGAAATATTCACTATTTATAAAACACACTCACTAACACACGCGATTGACGCTAACCGAAAAAATCGTCACGCGGTCAGCAATGATTTTTCCGATTAATATGTATCCAGCTTAGCTGTGGTTCCAGATTGCCCTGACGGCACATTTCTGTGTTAAAGTAAACTCTGGTGCTATATCCGCTTAATATCCGGTAATAGTATACATAGAAATCGTTGTACTTAACGTTGTAGTCTTTAGAAAAGGAAGAAAGCGTAATTTTTGGAAGTAAAATATTTGAAAACTGCGTATACAAAGGTTTATTTGTACACATATACATATGTACAACTGAACCTTTTTATACATATACATACATATATACATGTATATATATATACATATAGGTATATATATAAACTTTGTTGTAAGTTCTTATGCGTCTCAGAGAAAAAAAGTGAACCCTTACTCGACTCATGGACGTGTACCATAATCTCCGCTAAGCAAAGATGTATCATCATTAGGGAAATTATAATCCACCGACTTCTTTAATTTCGTCGGCTTCTCCTTTGACTAGATCCTCTCAGTACCATGCATGCACATTCATCCACTGTCCGCTTTCGAATTTTCTGCAGAGCCCCTTTAGTTTAGTTCTTGCCAGTCTCTCGGGCAGCCTGACTACTCATCTTGGTGACCAACTCACCCTAGCCTTGGGGAGAACCTTATCCCCAGTAGGCCTTCAACCACCATTGCAACCTCCTGTGTTGTCCGGACAAAAAGGAGCCTGACCAGAGGGATCGCGCGCCTACTCAGACCCTTGGGTTCTACGTCTGGTTGGCTCCCCAAACTACTGGCTCGTTTGTACAGTCTGTTCTTCACTGGCAGCTACAGCCATCTCCCGTCACCCCCAGGAAGCAATCACCAAGGAACCACCTCCGTGAGGCCTCCTCAACTCAGAAAAGGCCAAGTTCTCTCTTTTGTTTTGCCATTCGCGGGTGCTCGACACGCAGCTGGGAAAACAGGCGGACGGCCAACACTGCAACACAAAAGATGAGAGCATAAGATTTACGACCAGGGTGGCTTGCCATCCGCTGGTCAGCCAGTTAGGTGACCGTGTCTGTGGCGAGATGAAGGAAGGGTTGTAGAAAAGTTACGGAACTGGCCACCGACTGCAGACCGCATAAATTCGTGGCCGCGGAAAATGCGGTGGTACTTCGCACGAGCGGCACCCGATCGAGCCACGCCAGTCCGCACCAGAATGTGCTTGGCTCTGGGCTACTACCGACGTCTTTTATCCCACCCTTTTCTGTCATCTTTTCTTTTTCTTTAGACTATTGCATTGTCTGTGAATAATGCCCGTATGTGATGAAAGTTGATGCCTCCCTGTGCGTAAATGAAGCCACTGGCTAAAGCACCGGTTGACATTAGCTCTCCTCCACATGATCGGGTCGTCGGGGAAAACAGAACAGAATAAGCCCAGGCGCTCATCGGATACTATGCGCTGTTATGCCAATATCCCAACGGGGAATAACCGCGTTATGAAGCCTGAACACTTAGTTCTGTGCTGGCTATGCGTCCCTTGGGAGGTTTGTTGACAAAGAGTGGAGTAAATGGTCGGCTCTAGCTAATACACGAGTGAAGGGGACATCCGGCGTTATTCACGTGTCGCGGTCGACAATATTCCGCTGTAGTATATCAACTCGGCTAATATCAGCAATCTCGTAAAACGAGGAGGCCGTAGAAGCGAATTGATTGCGAGATCGCCTGAGCTTCGAGCCAGACCCAAATATCTCTAGTTAACCTGATTCTCTGGGAGATACTGTTTAGGGCAGCTTTACCAGCTTCGGGGATGGTATTTTGACTATCGAGCATGTAAATGTGTTAATCCGATTATCACTGGTTAGGCATTGCTATTCTTAACTGGGTAGTAGGGCGGTGACCAAGTGTCTGCACATGGGGGACATAGCTGTATTTGCCCTAGGGACTTGGCTGGCCAAACAATTGCTCTTTTATGCCTGTTTGTGTGACCTTTATTGCATATGGGTTGTACGTTAAACATGTTAGATCGTATTCACCCTTTATTGGATCGCCCTTTGGTTAAATAAGGGGGTTCATTTTCTACCCTTTAACATAAACAGTCGTCATTGGTAATAGTCCACTTGGTTAATGTACAAATGCCCGCATAGTAGGACGATTTCACAATTTCCAAAAATACTATTGGGGTTTACAGTTTGAATCAGTTTCGTTGCTGGGTTATTACATACGTAGAGCGTACAGTAGAACAGAAACGCTGCCTTGACCTCTTAGGGTTCGTCTTATATGAATCAGTAATCAACGACATATATTTATTTACAACCTAATCAGGGGCCTTACCCCAAATATATTCCGACTCTTGCGTTACATCTATTCATCGTCACTAAACATCTCAAGCACACTGCTGGAGACGTGACGAACTTGTTCGTCACGATCCTACAATTCCGGACGTGACGATTTACATTTTTGTGCGCAATAACAGTTATACCTGCTGTCTTCTGTCGTGACATGGCTAGTTTAAAGAGTACATCCATTACTTACGCTAGCGAGAAAAGATGCATGTAGGAAGATAGCTATTTTGCAACGGGTAACGGGTCAAAAAGTTAGCTAGCGGTTGAAGTGAATTCCTTTTTCTGAGTGTTGTTTGTGCTATTTCCACACTCTCTGTCTCTCTAGCTAGGCTTAACCCAGCCTAACCTGGCTATAAGCGTCGTGTGTCTGTCTTCACAAAAGGTGCAATGGTACTATTCTGTGTCACCTTTGACAGCGTGACGCGAAATTGAATACCTAAACGTAGTCCTAAATGTAAATGACAGTGCAGGGTGTTACCATGCTACGTATACTTTAACAGTTATTCAACGAAGAAAGTTCTGCGAAATACACGAGTAGGCTGGGTGATATGTTGTGATAGGACGAAACGTGCCTATCGAACAAAAACTTACAAATATTAGAAACGTTGAACTAGGTTATTATTAGGCGCCAGAGAATAACAAGCAAGCGTAAAGTCTGTGTCGCTTGCGCTAAATAGAACAATAAATGCTTTGAAGAGTTTCGTCATTACTATTATTACTATTGTACATTATCATCAATTCTATCGGCTTGAATGAGCCAGGTTCGCCTAAATACATTCCACATAGCTGAAACATGACGACAAAGTTCTAACTGCATATCGCCCTGATTCGTTCTACAATTTTTTGATCGACGTATGTCTACGAGGCGCAAAAACCTTTTCCGTAACTTAGCTGTCCCGTCGGTGGCCAACTTTGGTACCGTTGCATGGCAATGGTTTAAGGACCTGTTATTGGGACAGACGCGGAAATCTCGAGTGTCTGAGCGTGAAACGGGATCACCGTTGTAGAGACACTGCTCTTCCTATTTTTCGTACTTTTCTTCACTAACAGACAGAAGTATGTCTATGTCCGGATTGCAATCTACACACTTTCGTATATTTGGAAGGTTTAGAGCCAAACATGTTACGTAGGTCGTCACGAAAATGAGTTAGGGCGCAAAAACCTCAGGCCATGCGAAATACAAATGATTGAAAGATTCCGTGTTGGACAAGTTTCAAATTTGTCTTTAAGAACACAAAGTTTACTGAACAAAATTAATAATTACTTGCGATATTGCTGTCAACAAAGAATAAGTTACGATCGAGCTCGACTAATAAAACGTGATGGAACATTTACCAATTCGAGGTACCGCTCAAGCGATCTACTACTTGGCCAATGTCACGCCCATGCCCTTCTTCGTTAATGACGCTAGTGCTAGTAAGATCCTTATACCCGAATCGAATTACTGGGTGCGGTATACTGGGCATTTTACAATCGCCACTCTATCCACAAGCTATGTAGCAAGCTGGATCCCGAGTCACAATGGGCCAATCTACGCGGGGCAAGTAACGTTTTTATTGTTGAAAGCCAGCGACTATTGTGCTCGTTTAATACGTGATTTCTGTTCGGCTGCGAACCTCATATTAAATACGATCGATGCTGATGCTAAAAACTGTGAGCTTCTTGAAAGTGTACTTCGACAAGGAACCAGAAAGCGCGCATGGTACGCTGGAACTAGAGGTTAATTCTGTGCCCTATGGCTGGTCATAACTGTAACTTATTTCGTTCATAGTTCTGAACTGGACGCTTCTGTATTTACTGGATCGTATATACGTCACCCGTCTGGTACGCGGCTTCGTTCTGATTCTGCACTGTGATGCTGCGCAGGCAGGAATAATAATCCAATAGATCGAAGCTATGATTATTACTATTGTCACTGTGTGCCGTTCGTGCCATCCGTCAGACTCATTTCTATTGTTACTTCTTTCAGGACTGTGTATTCTTTTCGGAAGCAAGTTGACATACATTTTCCCAAATTTTTGGCTAAATAGTGAATTTTCTTGCTGAAACGTCTAGCAATTAAGTAATAATTAAATAAGCCATTACCTATATTTGAAAATATGCGTGCCGGTACT